ACCTGAGCCGAAGTCGGACGCTTTAACTGACTGAGCCACCCAGGGGCCCCAGGAGAATAATAGTTTGAGTAGATACTTTTTCTTCTTTTTTTTGTAAGGAAATTAAAAAAAAAAATTTTTTTTAATGTTTTATTTATGTCTAGGAGAGAGAGAGACAGTGTGAGCAGGGGAGGGTCAGAGAGAGAGGGAGTCACAGACTGAAACAGGCTCCAGGCTCCGAGCTGGCAGTCAGCACAGAGCCCGATGCGGGGCTCGAACCCACGAACCGCGAGATCATGACCTAAGCGAAAGTCGGACGCTCAACCGACTAAGCCACCCAGGCGCCCTGAGTAGATACTTTTTCTTAAGTTGGAGGTCAATTCCTTCCTATTTCTATGGGTCAGTCGTGCACGTAAGCTGTTTCACGGTCAAAATACTGGGAGTGAGGAAGCCAGTATTGCCGCTGTGTGGGGAAGGTAAGTATTGGTTGTGCTGTCGCATCTCCCCATTTTGGTGGCCACAGGGGCAGTTGGAATAAAACATGCCTGTGTGCAGGTGCACGCATGAGTCTCCTACCATGTGACGTGATCCTTTTTTATTCTAATATTCAAGAGAGGTCAAGGATGTGAGTTACAAGAACATGGTCAGGGTGTGAAGGTTTACATACAAGGTACTTGTCTGAGTTTGGGCGTCTGTGAAAAAAAAAGGTATTGTGAGAAATCAGTTGATATACTTTAAATCTTTATTACTGGACAAGTAAAAAAATAGCTGATAATTTATTACTCGTTAAACACTCAGCATTAAATCAAGGATGAATTTCATTTATTTCATAAGACCAGTATTAACAGGAAGAACAGGGAGGAGGCAAAGGTGTCCCAGATTCGCTTCTTTGAGGCACTAACAACATTGGTGTTGCCATGTTTGACCCTTCCCACCGCGGCCGTGGCCCTCCCCTGCTGAGGGCCTTGTCTGAGGTCTGTCCACGCTGCAGCCACGGAATGAACTGCACGTGTCTAAACCGGAAAGACGTTTCCTCCAAAGATGTTGTCCCTAAGTATCTGGATACGTTGTAGATATTCCCCTTTTTATGTGCCTCTCAGGCTTTCAGTTCATATCAGCAAACACAACTGTGAGAAATTCTCTACTTGTAGGAAAGTCACCGAAGTTCGTTTGAGCTGGCTTAGCCGCGCCTCGCTGCCCTGGGAACGGCCTTCTTCAGTTCCCCCGATGACGCTTCCGGGAAGCCCGCCTGGAGAGAGCTTTGTCCTGCTGCTGGGATGGCGGTGTGGCTGCCCGCGGGACTGCCGTTGCTCGGGCGGCCGTGACGAATCACAGGGTGGGGCATCCCAACGGCAGACGGTCACTGTGACACGTCCTGGAGGCTGGATCCGGGTGCGGGCAGAGCCCCTGACCCCCCGTGGACGTCCAGGTGCCGTCTCCTCCCCGCTCCTCACGTGGTCGGCCCTCTGTGCCTGTACACGCGTGTCCTGATCGCCTCTTACAAGGACGCGGGTCAGATTGGATTAGGGCCCACCGCAGTGACCTCATTTCCTATTCACCTCTTCCAAGACTGCATCGCTAAGTATGGCCCCATTCTGAGGTCCACATGTGAACTTCACGATTCAGCCGGGGCAGGTATGAAGAGCTTCAGAGTCAGAGCCAGGCGTTAGCTAGTGGCACTTTACCTCCTTTCGTCCTGGTTTTCTTCTCTGAAAAGTGGGAATAACATTATCTCCTTCATAGATTGTGTGAGGGTAAGTCAGACTGTATCCACAACGCCAAGGTCTGTTCTTGACACGGAGAGGGTGAGTGCTCGGTAAATCTTGGTCCCTTGACCTACGTTCCTTTTTTCTCACCGCTTTCTCCCAACGTCCATCTACTGCCTTCCCATTTATCCTGAGATTTTAGTTTCAGGAGCTCAGCCACAGCTTCGTAATCTGCAGACACACCTCCCACGGGCCTGTGTCCAACTCTGCATTCGTTCTTTCATCTGCGCGTTCAGAGGGCAGCTGTGTGTCTCTTTTTATTTATTTGGGTTTTTAAAATTTTTAAATATTTATTTTTGAGAGAGAGACAGAGCACGAGTGGGGGAGGGGTAGAGAGAGAGGGAGACACAGAATTTGAAGCAGCTCCAGGCTCTGAGCTGTCAGCACAGAGCCTGAAGTTAACTGACTGAGCCACCCAGCGCCCCAAGATGATTGTTGTAAAGTCTTTGTGGAATAAATTTCATGTCTGAGCTTTCTGAGGGATAGTGAATTTTGTTCCTTTGAATGAGCCGTGTTTTCCTGTTTCTTTGTATGCCTTATGATTTTTTGTTGTTGTTGCTGAGAATTGAGTGTTTGATTTTATTTACTTTAAAACGTTTATTTTTGAAAGACAGAGTGAGCACCAGTGGGAGAGGGACACACGGAATCTGAAGCAGGCAAGGTTTCGAGCTGTCAGCACAGGGCCCGACGTGGGGCTCATACCCACGAGCCATGAGATCATGACCTGAGCCACCCAGCATCTGACTCTTGATTTTACCTCAGGTCATGATCCCAGAGTCGTGGCATTGAGCCTGTGTCGGACTCCGCACTGAGAGTGGGGAGCCTGTTTGGGATTCTCTTTCCCTCTGCCCCTCTCCTCTGCTCACACACTCTCTCTCAAATAAAACAAAAATTTTTAAAAAGCAAACAAAACATTTCTTCTAAATTGCTACTCAAAACATAGTGCAAGGATGGGAAGGTGTCAGAGGATTTCACTTACGGCATGAAGAAATACGGTTGGCTAAAAAACCCAATAAATCTCTTCGTGTTTCCAATGGAAAAGTATTTTAAGAACCAGGCATAATAACCCTTGTAAATTGTCTCAGTTAACCGCTCATCATCAAGCTTGTGAGGCATCTCATCAGGAGCAATTTCAGCCCTAAGAGCATGTGAACACAGATCTCTGACAGATCTCAACCGAGCGTGTTTCCTTCCTGGTGCGGCAGGTGGGAGAGAGGAAAGGAGCCGGCGTTATGGCCGCCACTCCTGGTTTCCGCTTCATGATTAGAGATAAGATTCTATCCAAGAGCTTTATTTGTCTCGGCCTCAGAAGAGAAGACTCAAGGTTGGCTCTGAGTGTACTTGGTTCACCTGCTGAAGAGAAGGCTGGTCGGCCAGGTTCCGGGGAGTGTGAGCCCCGCGTGGCGCCCGTGCGGCCGTAACCACGGGGAGGTCGTCAGGGGGCTCCCCGTGGAGAGAGGCATGGATGACCCACTCCTCCCGAGGAGAAGCCACTTCTTGAGTTCTGTCCACGTGGGCCAGGAGCTTTGGGAGGAACTCGAATCACTTACTTCTTCAGGGTGTGAACTGTCACCGTGTCCTGGTGAGGCCCCTGCTGCAGTTTGACGGGTGTCCCGTGTCCTTCGCTGCTGAGACGCTGGGAAGCTTCTTGCCACATGGGCCTCACATCCCCTGTGGCATCGGCTCGCTGCTGAGCTGCCGGCGCTTGATCGGTGCTCCAGGCAGCCAGGAGTGATCAGAAGCAGCATGCGGCTGGGTTACAAGGTCCTTATTCCGTGTTTGTCCGACTGTGCTCTGCAGGGACTCAGGGGGTCTTTGCTGAGTTCCTGGGATGGCAAGGAGAACGAGGCTGCGAGCAGGGCCTTCAGTCAGCGCAGACGGCAGCCCCCCGCACGCGCAGTCACGTGGGTGACAGTCACCTTACAGGCATCGCGGCCAGGGCACGTTTTATGACAGTTTCCCAGAAAACCTCAGTGACGGGTCTTCTTCTATTCAAAGCAGGTCATTGCAGCCTTTCTCTGCACCATGCAGGCGGTGTCTCCGGGGAAAACCCTGTCCCGCTGAGCCCCCCTAGCCCCGTCCGTGCCCTGGAGATCCCTCCTTCCCACGCTGGGGTGGCGGCCAACGTGCTCACTCTCTCCGTCTTGGGACTTCTGGAGTCTAGATCTTGTGGGGAGAAGCCGGGGTGGTGTTCCGGAGACACGGGGCGCGTCCGACAGCCGCAGCCAGCTTCGGGCCCAGGAGCGGGCGTTTGAGTCCACATAGCCACAGAGCAGCCGGGTGTCCGCATCGCTGGACGTGGCACCGTGAGCTGTGTGGTTACTGTGCCGGCGGCCGGGCAGCGGCACGTTCGGCCGCCCTTTCCTGACTGGCACACCGCAGCCAACGGGGCTGGGGACGGACCCCCACACGGAGCCCTTCAGCGGGGCTTCAGGTCCGCTTGGAAAACCCACTCTGGCCAAACATGCGCTCACGTGACGCTTCTAGAGTAAATAAAAACGATCCGCCATTTGGAGAAGTTGAGAATTTATCATATTCGAATACAGGAAAGTATATAATACATCACACTCATCGCACTCCAGGGCTCTCTGGTCCTGCCTGGCGCGGCGGGGCCAGGCATTCGCTTTGATTTCTTATTCATTTAGGGAACTTTTAATCTTTCTAAACTTCTACTTTTTGTTTGTGTATTTGTTTGACCGTTAGGCTTGCTAGTGGCTTTTTGGATTCTTTTGCTGCTTTTTTTTTTTAACGCTTATTTATTTTTGAGACAGAGAGAGACAGCACGAGCAGCGGAGGGTCAGAGAGAGAGGGAGACACAGGGTCTGAAGCAGCTCCAGGCGCGGGGCTCGAACTTATGAATCGTGAGATCATGACCTGAGCTGAGGTCGGACGCTTAACCGGCTGAGCCCCCAGGCGCCCCAGGATTCTTTTGCTTCTAACTGAAGATGTTTTCTGCACGTCTGCTAGGATTCCCCCCCCCCCCCCCGCCCCAAGACGGTCAAACGTTTTCATCCCACGGTGGCCCCTCTGAAGGTTCTGTTGTGTTTCAGAGGCTTCCTGCTCCGAGTCTTGCCTGAGCTCTGGTGTCAGGAGCAAGTGCCTTGCTGAGTCGGTGGCCCCCCTTTGCTTCTGCATCTGCAGTGGGGGGGGTGGCTGCCGTGAGAGACGGAGCTGTGCGGGCAGCTCGCGGGGCCTCGTGGGTTTGGAGCGACCCCAGGGCCCACCCGCCGGATGGTCTGTCTCCTCCAGGTGCCTTCCGGAAGCGCAGTGCTGTTCCATGCTTGTCCTGGGAACGCCCCTGGCTAATGTGCACACTTAGAGCCGCGTTACCAGGCACACCCTTCCCACGTGTGATGTTGCTTTTTCTTTCAAGGTAAGTTAAAATTTGCCCTTTTGACAAGAAGATCATACAGAACCGTTTCCACTGCAGCGGCAGGAGGAGACGAAGGCTGACGGGCATGCTGCAAAGGCACTGTGGCAACACAGGGACCCGGGAGGGGCCGGCGAGGGGCAGGCGGCACCCACCGGCAGGGACTAAGCCCAGGGGCCACGGGCCCTCATGCTCCAGTCTCTTGCGTTTTTCTTTGGAGCAAAGGGCTGTCAAGGATGTTGTGTTAATGTGCACATGTTTCCGGGAGACGCACACTTTCCCGGGGATCCGACTGCAGACATTCAGGTCCGCAGGTGGCAGCTGCCTGACAGGGGGCTCGGGACCAGCCCCTGGGGCCTCGGAGGGGCTGGGCGCGTGGGCAGCTTTGCCAGATGGGGCCCTGTGGCCAAGCCCAGACGCGGCCAGGAGGGAAGGGCTGCAGACGTGAAGCCCGTAAGGTGGCCAGGGCTGGGCAGCAGGAAGGCCCCGGGACACTGACACGCGCCCAGTTAAGGCTCCTCTGTGGCCCCTCCGCGGAGTGTCCGCTGTGACACGCCCGCCGCCTCCCGCAAGCCCGTCCACCCTCTCGGCGCCTCCGAAGGAGAACCCGAGCTGCCTCCTCCCCGCCCTCGGGCACTAGATTTCTAAACATGGGGCAACGTGCCAGCATGTTTTTCTTTAAGCTTCTGGAATCTGGATTTAAAAAACAAATTTGTTAAAGGGTAACAATTTTCTTTACTTAACTGAAGGATTTACATGGAAAGCTTTCATTAAGGTAGAATCTCAGCTACAAAATTTTGATTAGGCTAGAAATTTAAAACGACATCAATACACAAACACCCGTATTGGACCAAATCCCCAGTTTGACAAGAGTGGGCTCTTCTAAGAATGGCCCTCAATGGGGCCCAGCGTGAGCTGCCGGTTTGGGCTGTGAACCGAGTGGCCAGGACCCGGCTTGGCTGAGCCCAGACCCTGCGGTCACTGGCCCTGGAGGAGTCCGAGCTCGCGGGGCCTGGCGGGGGGGGGGGGTCCGAGGACGGCAGGGCCCCCGCCGTTTCCACGTCCGCATCCCCAGGGCTGAGCTCCACGGCTTTAGTGGTAAATGCTTGATAAGCTCACACGACTCACAGGCTTATCTGTTTCATGAAGTAATACTTCCTCCTTTCCAGAACTCTCTTTTCAGGAAACAACCAGAAATACACATAAGACATAACATACAAGGATTTCACTGTGGATTTATTTATAAGAGCAAAGAAATGGAAGGAAGGAAAAGTGAATTGCTGTGCAAGTGACAAAATCGCATGTAGCATCGCCACCATCATCAGGGAAATGCAGATCGAACTTGCAGCGAGCTCTCACCTCACACCTGCCAGAGTGATCGTATCAGGAAGGAGGAAGTAACCAGCGTTGCTGAGGATGTGGAGAAAAGGGGACCCTCCTTCCCTGCGGGTGGGAGTGGAGGGGGGTGTGTCCCCTGCAGAAAACAGTAATGAGGTGCCTCACAGAGTCAGAAATAAAACCACCACCCAATCTAGCCATTCCCCTTCTGGGCACATGTCCAAAGGAAATGAAAACAGGATCTCAAAGAGAGGTCTATATTCCCCTGTGCAATGAAACAGTATTCACAATAGCCAAGAAATAGAGGCAATTTAAATGTCCATCAGGGGTGAATACGGAGGGTGTGGCACATGCATACAATTACTCAGCAATAAGGAATAAGGAAATCCTGCCTTTTGCACGAGGTGATGGACTTGAGGGCGTTACACTAGGTGAAAAAAGTGAGACAGAGAAAGATACCTGCACGCTATCACTCATTTATGGAATCTAAAAAAAAAAAAAGCGAAATTATAGAAAAAGTACTAGGGGGGCGCCTGGGGGGCTCAGTCAGTTGAGCGTCCGACTTTGGCTCAGGTCATGGTCTCACGGTTCGTGGGTTCGAGCCCCGCGTCGGGCTCTGTGCTGACAGCTCGGAGCCTGGAGCTGCTTCACATTCTGTGTCTCCCTCTCTCTCGACCCCTCCTCTGCTCCCACTCTGTCTCTCCCTCTGTCTCTCTGTCTCATCTCTCTCAAAAATAAGCATTAAAAAATGTTAAAAAAAAAAAAAGAAACAGTAGAAAAGTGGTCGTGGGGCTCAGGGGTGGGGGAAATACAGAGGTTGGTGAGAGGGTGCAGTCTTTCAGCTGTAGGATGAGTGAGGCCTAGGGTCCCGTGCAGCACGTGGTGGCTGGCTGGTAACACCGTGCTGGGTAATTGAAGCTGGCTGAGAGGGTAAAACCTAAAATTCTCTCACACACAAAAAGGTAAACAGGCGAGGCCATGGATGTGTTTATTAACTCGATGGGGAGACCCTTTCACAATGCATAGGGAGCAAATCATTGTGATATACACTAAATATCTTACATTTTCACATTTCTGCTGAACCTCAATAAAGCTAAATTTTTTTTTAAAATCATGTGTTGTACAAAACCATGTAATGAGCTCAACAAATATTCACAGTATAAGTTTAGGCTCTATTTGGTCTTGGTTATGTTTAAATGTCAGTATTTACCCAGAAGATCAAGCTTGCTTTTCCCTCAAAATATAAAAATCTTTATATTTTATTAGGAAAGTAGTGCATTGCTATAAAATTTTAAGTAATTTGTACAATTATATAAATGTATAAATTATAGACATAAACATATGAATGGCGTGACCTCTTCTGCCCGGATGTAACGAGTTGCAGATCACTCCATGCGCGGCTGGAATACAGGAGCCGGACATATCACTCGCCATAAGGCGGGGGTCCTGAAGAGAAGGTTGATCTTTAAAACGTTTTCTTTTTAAAATTATTTTTAAGGGGCGCCTGGGTGGCTTAGTCGGTTAAGCTTCCGACTTTCGTTTAGGTCATGATCTCGTGGTTCGTGGGTTTGAGCCCCGCTTTGGGCTCTGTGCTGACTGCCAGCTCAGAGCCTGGAGCCTGTTTCAGAGTCTGTGACTCCCTCTCTCTCTGACCCTCCCCTGCTCATGCTCTCTCTCTCTCTCCTAGAAATAAATAAAAATATTAAAAAAATTATTTTTAAGTTTTATTTTGAAAAATATATGTTGACGGTCTAAAGTAGGAATATTGTATTTGTGTATTTCATTGATTGTCTGAGTATTTAATGATATTTACTAAACTCATTAGAAAGGACCCGATAGAAATGTCCAGGCCTTTATTTTTAAAGTTTTTTTTTTTAATTTTTTTTAATGTTTTATTTATTTCTAGGAGAGAGAGAGAGAGACAGCGTGAGCAGGGGAGCGTCAGGGAGAGAGGGAGTCACAGACTGAAACAGGCTCCAGGCTCTGAGCTGGCAGTCAGCACAGAGCCCGACGCGGGGCTCGAACCCACGAACCGCGAGATCATGACCCGAGCGAAAGTCGGACGCCTAACCGACTAAGCCACCCAGGTGCCCCTTTTTAAGTTTTTTTTTTAATGTTTATTTATTTTTGATGGAGAGAGAGACAGAGCAGAAGCGGGAGACAGGCAGACAGAGAGGGAGACACAGAATCCCAAGCAGCTCCCAGCTCCGAGCTGTCAGCACAGAGCCCGACGCGGGGCTCACACTCGGGGATCAGATGCTTAACCAACTGAGCCATCCCGGTGACCCAGAAATGCCCAGCACTTTAAAAACCATTTTGGGAGACGTGCGTTTCTTCTGTCATACGTTACTGTCGTCCCACCTGGAACGCCGTTTTTGCTGACAAACACAAGTATGTATTTCTGTCCCGTCTTTCATCATGACCCCGAGCACCTGGCCTACTGGGCATTGTCACGGGCCACCCCGTGGCGGCCTAGCTCTGCAGCCCTTTAGCCCTAAGAACTGCCAGTGCAAAGTAAACAAACCAGGATCCTGAGCAGCCCTGCTAGTTGTTTGTATTTCTGTCTTTATCTCTTCTTATTCATTTATTTATTAAAGATTTTATTTTTAAGTAATCTCTGCACACAGTGTGGGGCTCACACTCACAATCAGAGCCGCACACTCCACCACCTGAGTCAGCCGGGTGCCCCTTCATCTCTTTCTATTTACACAAAATGCCATCTCATCATTTAATAGTATTAGGAATAAAATACTTACAAGAAATTTATCTCTGACCGCACTGAAAATGCATTTTCCTTTTTTGGTAATAAGGTGATTATGCTCCTTTAGTGGAAGATGGGAGATTAGTTCCAGGCTCAGTACAGTTTGTCAGTCAAGGCAGCCTCCTCCAGCCCACCAGCTCTGCTCTGCACACAGCCTGAGGGCCTCCCCACGGAGACGCGTGTCTGCTCAGGCCGTTAGGAAGAACCACGTACAATTATCGATAAAAAGGGGAATTCGAATATAGATGTCGTCTGGTGACATAACCTCCGATAAAGGAATGTCTGCGTAGTGGCTTATACACCCAGAGAACATGCATGTCCATCTACTCTGTACCAGCCCTTAATAGCTGTGGGGCCGCGATTTATAAAACCCGCTGCGCATTATTTCCAGAATTCCCTTCCTGGCTCTCTCTCTTTTTTTTTAAATTTTAGGTAACTATGACTTTGGATTCAGACTGAAGAAAGTCCATGTTCTTTTGTTGTGGAAAAAGGAATAATACCTGAGTGTCGCTAAATTTACACAGGTTTCTTACAGCAAAGTGGAACAGAGATTCAGAGACATCATCATATTGTTTCTCTTTATTTAAGGAATGTTAAAAATTGTGAATATTATAGACAGGAAACCCGAGAAATGAAAGTAGATAAAATTCACTGGCGTTTTGATGAAAGCCAGGCATAGCTGAACGTTTTCTTTCTCCTGCAAGTGCGCAGGCAAGTATGCAGTCACGGACGTTGCTGGTGCTTCCCACCTCGGCTCGATTACTCTGAGATATGCATCTTGAAGACATTGACCATAGGACTTTCCCAGATCAGAGATGAAACTAAAGTTCCCATTGTTATTCATTTATTTAAGAAAGGACAGGAAGACATTGGCTAACTCACAAGATGTTTAAACATGAGCTCCCCCGCCCCCAGCCGTGGCCCATTTGATTGGAATTCGTGATCGGGTGTGAAGACAGACCTCCCTCTAAGCCTCTGCTGAGGTTACTGCGCAGAGAAAAAAAAGAGTTACCTCCCACTTCCTGCCGTGGCACCAGGAGGAAGGGAGCTGGCTTGGCTTTGGCAGACGTGGAATCTGATGTGAAAAATGGGGAAGGATAGTTGATGCTTCTGGTGTCTGGCTAAGCTTTCCTGCTGAAGGGAAGGGAAACGAAAAAGACCACATTTAGGGACACAAAATACCATGCGCTAAAGATCTGAAGCAGTGGGGACCCTGGGGTCGGTTACTGGGTGAAAACCGAACGCTACGGGATGCCAGAGCCATTTCGGTCCCGTGGCCCTGTCGCTGCGTCTCCACCTGGGGGGGACGTCCTGTCAGGGGCATGTGCGTGTCAAGGTGGACTCGCTCCTGCTGAAGGCCTGGGGCTGCTGGGGGAGATGCCTCAGTGCCGAGCCGAGCGGAGGGAGGTCAGGGGAGACAGGCTGCCCTGAGAGCCACTGGCCAGGCTGTGCTCCACTGAGCGGCCTTGACCTTGGTGGGTTCTCAGAAGCCTTTCGGGAATACCAACACTGATCTTACACAAATGATTTCAGGAAACGGAAAGAGAAGAAACAGCCCCAACCTGCTGCACAAGCCTGGCACAACCTTGGCATAGAAACCAGAAGACGGCTTCCCCGGAAATGAGAAGTGCATGCCAGTGTGGTTCCGGAGCCTGGATGTAGGCATCCTGGACAAAATATCGGGGAACCGAAATCAGTAAAACAAGAAGGAAAGACACCTCATCACCAAGACAGATGTATTCCAGGAAGAGATTAGCATTAGAAGATCAATCAAAATAGTTCATCATATTGACGCATTAAATGAGAAAAATAACATGGCTACCTCAGTAGACTTACAAAAAGCATTTGATAAAGTTGAACATACACTCCTATTTAAAAAGCAACTCTTAGCAAACTGAGACTAATCAGAAACCTATTTAGTCTGATACAAGATAGCAAGACGGCCTGCAGCAAACACCGGATCCAATGGAGAAATGTAGCAAATAGGCCTGAGAGCTAAAAACCAGATGAGTGTCAGCTCATGTCACCTCAGAGGCCTTGGCCGGTGCAATCAGGACTAAAAAGACATGAAGGATGGGGTGCCTGGGGGGCTCAGTCGGTTAAGCGTCCGACTTTGGCTCGGGTCATGATCTCACGGTTCGTGGGTTCGAGCCCCGCGTCGGGCTCTGTGCTGACTGCCAGCTCAGAGCCTGGAGTCTATTTCAGAGTCTGTATCTCCCTCTCTCTCTCTGACCCTCCCCTGCTCATGTCGTGTCTTTCTCTCTCTCTCAGAAATAAATAAAATACAAAAAAAATTTTTTTTAAAATGTCAAAGACTCAGAAAGATCTAGCAAAAGAGCTTCTCCAGAGAAAATGGCAGGACCTCATCCTGAGAAGTTTCTGGAATCCAAGGAGAGGACCTAAGGACCGTCCATGACTGACTAGACTCTGCGC